AGTTAAGTCCTAGGTTTTAGGCCATAGAGATCTGAGAGTCTCTTGTTCCAGGAACACACACTAGCTTGCTTTATCCTGATAGAAAGTGCAAGACAACAACATCCCTAGCCTAACAGAAGACCAGCAACAAAGAGAGCAGACTTGGGGGAAATCGTTAATAGCAATATATCCTGAAGTAACTTTCAAATTTAAGATGCAAACTTCAGATTCTGTGATGCTCCTCGTCATTTTTAAGAACATGATCTGACTGTTGACTCCTAAACTATTTTTAGTCTATTACCTCACTCAAGGTAAAAGGTTTCAAATAACAGAAGACCTTTGGGAATAAGAGATTTGAGAAGGAAATCACAATTTTTTTCTTTTCACATAGAAAATTCTATCACAAAACGCATACCTTTACTTAAAAAGAAACTATAATAACACATTCAGTACATGCAGATTTTGCCGGGGATTTAGCTCAGTGGTTCCGGCGCCTGCTTTGCAAGTGCAAGGACTCGAGTTCAATCCACGGTACCAAAAAAAAAAAAAAAAAATACAAGCAGATTTCAATATATTTAATTCAATGGATACAACACTCCATATAACTATACATCCCGATCAGAAAGCCTTCAGACAGCTCTTTATCTGTTCAGACAGATGCCAAGTATGTATAAAACATCCTCTTTGAGGAAAGAATTTATCAAAATTAACCATCTGAATGATACAGAGTTAAAGATCTGTGGACCTCAAGGGGGAAAAAAAAAACCATGAGTGATGACCAAGAAATATTAAAATTACAGTAATTTTTGAAATTTCTGAAGCACTAAGAAAATGAACAAATTTGTCAGTTCAACCACAGCATAGGTTGAAATGAATGAAAATCTGATGCCAGTCTGAATCCCTGCTGGAAGAATGTGGAGGAGGCTTTTGGTGGCTTGAGTTGTTATTGATGGGTGAACCCCCAAATCAAAAAACGGCTCCTATTCATCTATTGCTCAGTACTCTACTTTCACAGGTTGCTGTCTGGCTTTGTAACGAAGATCTAGTTTTGACAGAAAATGTGAATGTAATGCTTCATCCTACACCAAGTCATCCAAAATAGGACTAGAATATACAGTAAAAGAGTTAAATACTCAATTTACCCATATGTCACTGGGTCTCTGAACAAAGAAAACTACGACTTCCACAAACAGCTCCTTTTGCAATGTTCATTATCTGGTTTCTCAAAAGTCTGATAAAGTGGGTACAGAGTGAAATAGCCCTGTTTTGTTCTTAGTAACACAGAAAAACCCCTTTGGCTTTTGGTCAGTGGAAGGACTGGCTTTCCTTAAACGTAAAATGAAAATGACCCAAATATTTATCAGCAGGTGAGGAGATAAACAATACAGTATATCCATATAAGAGAATACTTTTATCCATATAATGGAATACTACCTAACAATAAAAAGAAATGAGCCAAGATTTCTCCCAAGAAGAGGAATTCCCAAAAGCACTATGCTAAATACACCTGAAGTCAAGACTATAAAACTGCATTATTCCATTATGTAAAATGTTGTGATTTTTTTTAAGGCATTCTATCATGATAAAAAGCAGCTCAGGGCATGCTAAATATCAAAGTGGGAGTAGGGAGTGACTGCAGAGAAAGGTACTTTGGGGTAGGAAGGACCACAAATCTTCTATGACTGTAGTAGTGGCAGTTAGACAACTGTATACATCTCTCAAGATTCAATGATTTGTACAGTTAACATTAACTGCATACAAATTACACCTCAGTAATGGTGTAGAGTTTTGTTTCTTTCACGGTGCTGGGGATCAAACCCAACATCTTGCATACATGCTAGCCAAGAAGTCTTCCCCTGAGCTACATCCAAAGTCCTGCCGATGAGTTCAACAGGGGCCCACAAGACAAAGAAGGGTGCAGAACATCTTCAAGGCGCTCCAAGATTATCTGTACAACACTGATGATTCATCCCGTCACTGTTGGGAG